AACCAATATTATATAACTGCTTAATGTTTAATTAAAGGAACCTTTCTAATAACCAACCTTGTTTAATATATTTAACATCTATGCACCAGAACCAAATGCAACATCTGCAAGCAAAAAAAAAAAAAATACAAACGTTTACCATACCAGTATAGTCAAGGAAAGAAACACCAGTGTAGTATAACACTACTTCTGTCCAACACAAATTTTCTCATTAAAAAACAATTACTTCAAGGATCTTATTAAGGTAGGTGTTCACTTTACATTAGTTCCCTTTTCTAAAAGCTAGTATTTTTGATCTATTTTTTCTTTATATGCATATGCACATACGTTACACGTACTATACTTTCATATTGCTAGTATGACTATCACGTTTCGTACAACTTACTTACATTTTGTGTAACCAACCATTATTTAGTACTACGGCTACATGTAGCCATAGGCTACAATTATATTATTTCTTTTTTTAAAATTATAAAAATAATATTTTTGTAATTTTTTTACTGTCCTATTTTGAGTCATTTATATAAAAATAATTATTTTTTGAAAATAAGACCGCTATTTTGTAGTAAATTATTTTAACTATAAAATAGCAACGTTCTTTTTTATTATTTTTGTAACATGAGCTATTAGCTTTAAAAACTAGCTATTTAATTGTCGTTTCTAAATGTCCTGCATTGTAGTACAAATGACGTAACATGTCAATTAAAATAAAGCTCATGTCCACGAAAATTGGACACTTTTATAAAAATGATACAAATCAAGAGTTTAAGAGGAAAAATATGCCTTGAATTACGCGAAATAATCAATAGATGTAGACTGATCTGCATTTCCTTGAAATAAAGGCCACTTGGGAAATACAAATCTTAGTAAAACCTAACTGAAATTGTATTTAAAGAGTAACATTAATGTCTTTAATTTAATGATATATATTTTTATAATTCTAAATTACATTAATATTAATGATACTAGTAACCCTCATGACAAATCAATTATTATAGTTGCAAGATCACAGGCGATTCTACGGAAAGCACTGCAAAGAATTTGATATTGATAATTTAGTCTCCACACCATTTACCGATGTATAATGTAGTTTCTTTATTCCCAGCAACAATTATGATATCAGTGCCCTGTGCACACACATCCATTACGTGAGAATTTACAAAAATTGCTCGTATTAAACGACAAGAGACAACATTCCAAAGTAGTGTTATGTCACCGATAGTTTTGAATGAGATATTATCAAGTGCAGAAATGAAGTCTGTGGATAATGTTAGAATACTTATATAAACTTGTTAACCATAACATAGTATAGACAGATTAATTTTACCTACCATTTTCACATTCCTTCTTATTGCCACGAGTTCCAGTTAATGCAAGCGATGATAGAAAGTCACTTTGAAAATTTAAACCCCGCATGTCATCTTGATCCACTGCCACAATATAAATTGTACTGTGACTTCCAACCGCAGCATCAAATGGCATACTCGCCCAGCTAGCCATTAACATATCTTCACATTGTTGAGCCAAAATTGGTGTATCTTGTTCCCCTATATTAATGTTACATTTGTCAGAAGGATTTTCAATCATCGCAACGGACAATCCCTTTCGACCGACTAAGACACTCCCCCATTCAACATTTCCATTGTCGTTGACGTTATTACTTTTATTCATCAATTTCACTCCGGTCGAATTGGGAATTGGGAAATCTTTTAATGGAAAACATGACAACACAGTATGATATTTGGTTTCGGAAAGTGCGTCATCTAATGATGCCCTACGTGATCTACTTGAACTTGGCAATATAATTGGTTTGATGCATGCAGATATGATGAATAACGTGGGATGTGTTGTATAAAGAAGAATCGTATCTGTCGATATCACCTGTAGATCTATACAAAAATTTTTTATTAATGTATAATGTACATTAGAAAATAAAATTCAATATATATACCATATATTGCAGCATCATCGATATTATTTTTCCATACAATGTTATTTAATGATATAAGGCATAAATGTCCGCATTCACCCAAACATCCAAGTCTTGGAGCTTGCACTCGCATTTGTGTAGTGTTCATCCCTTTTTTGTCACCCTTTTCCGTGCACCCATTACCAATTTTATCATCCTCATTTTCCACCACTTCAACATCAAAAATTTTACTTTTAATCAAATTTTCTTCACAATTATAGCACGCACAAAGTTTTCCAGCTAATATTTTTTTAATTGCAATCGCGCAGAGGTATTCTTCATTTAATTTTGATTTGAAAGCAGTGGAGCTAAAAAAAATGAAATTTTGCGTAACGCAAAGGCTTGTTACTGGATACGAATTGGGAAGAGAGATTGTACTGTGCCACTCAAAACGAAGAGAGCTGTCCCAATGCTATGTACCGTAAAAATCACGTGAATTTGGAATCAAAAGAACATGTTTAATATTGGATAACGTACTTTTTTCAAGTTCCATAAAATTATTTCATTCGATTCACACAACATTACAACTCTTTGGCCATAGCCAATAATGTATCTTGGACACGATGCAACAGAAGCAGTTAACCTATATATATAATTTTCATAAGTAAAAGTCTAAACAGTATAAAGCACGAATAAACAAGATAAAAAGAACTTGCTTGTTTTTTAAAGAACTCTTAAAATCCTTTACTAATCTTTCCTCACCAACTTGCAAAACGATTGGTATCAATCCAAAAGCCGATCCTCCATTAGAATTATCCAAATTTGGTAAAAATTCGTATGCACGAACTTCAAAACTTCCAGCACGTTCTTTTAGATGGATGTGGAAAGTTATTACTAAAGAAGTTGTCGGTTCGTTTGAATTATGATGAACGTCTAGGAGCAGAAGGAAGGTTGGATCATCATCTATACGTAAAGGGGGACCGGTTGATGCCTTCGGAATGGTATGTTGTGTTAATCAAAAAAATACAAAGTATAAATCTTTTAGATAGACTTGTGAATATACTTTGGATGGATGAATTTCAATGATTCCATCTACATATATGAAAGCCGTTAATGACTGTGATGACGATTGAAGAAAGCGATGGATTAGTTTTGTTGGTAGTGTGTATGATCTAATCGTCATTATTAAATGCTGAAACGAAAGATCATACCTTTAAAGATTCGATAATTTAACAATTTGTAAAGTCAGAGATAATGGTTACACCTGATCTTGCTATTCAATTGGCTAAATTCCAAATCATGTGCATGTCAGTTTTTACTTATTGTTTTGATATCTATGACACGCTGCACGTCCTTTTAGTGAAGATGACTACTAAAAGTGTTGAAAATCCTCACGAAGAACAACAAAAAACGTTATTAAATAGAATTGTCTCTAATGTAGTAAGTATACGAGATATTGATGCGGTTCTTTACCAAACAAGTTTTCTAAATACCATTATTTCTATAAAGAAAAAATTAAACGATGTTCTTGAAGATATGAATTGTCGTATTATGGTTTGTGAATATTTAAATTTTCATGTTTATTTTAATTCTTATTTACAAAGATTACGTTTTAGGAAATAAATGAATACAATCGGGATATTGTGGTACTTTCGCAATTCTGGGCAAATTATAGCAGAAACGCTACTTTTAACCTTGAAAGTATGCACAAATTGAGGGATCCTATGTAATGGCAGTGATATAGCAACCATTTTTATGAGAATGAGCGTAAATGACACGTCATTTTAAATTTACAATATCATTTATTATAAGTCAAAAAATATTGTTATAAATGACAATAATACTAGTACTATCTTCAATAAGCCAGGATATTATTAGTACTAGTCTTTGTGATTTTTTTAATTTGTTATTCGTAGATTAGAAAACGATGCCTAAATGCTAAATACTACTGTATTTTAAGATTTTCAGCTCAACATTTTTATTATGATTTTAGCATATGTGTTACCTATTTTTAGTTATGAGCCAGCTGGTATTATATGTTATAAATTAGTCGAATATTATCAATTAAACATTTTAAATATTGTAAGTTGGATATTTTTTAATGTTTTGCTTGATGTTCGTTTATATTATAGATCAGAGTTTTTAATACCGTAAACTGCCGTATACAAGACCCGGGTATGTTTCATTTTACCAATTTTAAACCTATAATTAGACCCGTGGGTCTCTTGTATGGGTATAGATCTGATAATCGGGGGAGGGTTTATATACGAGAGGGGTTTTTATATGGGTTTTTTATGTGGGCGGTGTTTAGTATCGATATGCATATTACATATCCAACTTTTAATTTCAATCTATCACCTACTTTTTTTTTATAGAACAATGTTTTTTTAACCAGCTTGACTTACTATTGTTATTTAGTATTTTTTTTATTCTCTTGATGGTTGTATGAACAAAATGGTTAGTCATTATTAATAAAAGTAAGCATAGTAATAAAAATTAGGATAGTTATAGAATTATATAGTGAAGTATGTGATGTACTGATTAATAGTTTACTGACAATATTTAGAGTGCCAAAAAAATGGTTGAAAACTTTTATTAGTAAAAAGGCTTTGGATACAAGAAATTAAAACTCCATCATGTAATTAAGGTGAGTATTAAAATAGCATAATTTTTAGAAATTGGGCCTGGGTAAAAATTAATATTATGAGCTACCCAAGATATAATTATTTATTAGAATAACCCAGATAAACTAATAATACTTAAGTAGAGATTTGTTTGTCAGGTCCAATCTCTAATAATCTTTAATGGTTAGTGTTGGAGTCTCTTACATTCTTGCATTATCAATAGGATTTCATGGTCCAAAACAATAATTTTACTAAAAATAATTTGAAACTAGTGAAAATCTATTTACAGAAATTGATTTTTCAATAAAAGCTTCAAACTTCATTACATAGTTTCTAATATTATGAGCATGGCCAATGCTAATTGTAACATGAATAACTCTTAAGTATGTAATTTTAAAATTATTTCTAATTCTATTAGATAAGTAAAATAACTTTAAAGTGAACTTTTATATTAATTACTGAATGTTGTGTTTTCAATTATTTTTTTAAAAAATTCATTGTAATAAGAGTTCTTAAACCAGTTCTTTTTATTAATATTAAAAATGTAACACATCTGATAATAAAAAAAAGTTAACAAAAAGTTCTTGTTTAAGAACTTTTAATCTACCTAGTATGTTAATATATGATATACTAACTATTTGTTGACCAATTCATTAACTTTCATGTAATATTATTAGTGTATTTTTAAATAAATCAGTATTTATAATTGAATTCTATAAAACTTAATATCAACTAAATGTATATAAATATTAGTTAATATAGATGTATTATTTAACTTTATATGAGTTTAAGCTTATCTTCCTAGTTCAAAGATGAATTTTTAAGATTCAAACATTAAAGTGAGAGCTTTTAGTAATAATAAATTACAAAACTATTACAAATTAAAAAAAAAAAAAAGAATTATAAATTATTAAATTAAAAAAAAAAAACTACAGGATATTATGAAGAATCTTTTATGAGCTTAATGAATTATTGACATTAGAGATTAATTAAATATCAACAAAAACATGTATTTTATATAGAAATTTATATATTTTATTCAAAGCATAATGAGATCAAACATTACAACTTAGTTAACTTAAAAGCATGTACATAGTTATTTTATAGTTTGTTATATATAAAAAAAATTTTTTTTTATCATGTTTGATATTTTTGTCTTATCCTGAACAAAGCAAGTCTTCTAACCAAAACATAAAAGAATATCTTGGATAAAGTAGATTTTTCGACAAATACTCAAAACTAAGAACTAATTTATTTTAAATTAGTAAAAATTAAAATATTATAAATTATTAATATATACTGTATATTTAAGTAAGATAAAACATTATAAAAAAAAATTAAAACAAACAAAGGTTACTAAAAAAAAGAAAAAAAAGCTAAAATGTGCAGAAGAAGTTGGCAGTTATTATATATCTTGAAAAAATCTCATGACTAGCAAGTAAAATACTACTTAACAATTTAATATAATACCAAAACAGTTACATGAATAAATCAAAAAAGAAAGAAATTAAAAAATGTTCTACCTTATACAAGATGGTTAAATATTGGTACTTATTCTAAATATCTGTTTTTCGAAGTTGATCTTTTAGATTGGGTTACATTTTTATGTTTAAAGCAAAAGATTATATTCTAAAATATAGTTAAAACTAAAGTACAACAACTTGCAAGGCTAACCTATTTTATTTTACTTTATCTTATGATCAATAAATGCAAATAGAGTAATATATAGATCAAAGGTTTTATGTATTATAATAATTTAAGCAATTAATGCTGTATTATAGTAGCACAAAAACTATCAGAGGACTTAGAATCTAAAAGAAATGAATTTTTAAATTATGTATTATATTATAGAATATGTTATAATTATTCTCTTTCTTTTATTAAAAATATGAATAAGACATACTAGCATTTAATATGTCTAGTAACTATACAATAGAAGAAGCTGATGCTTATACAGTTGGAATTCGTACAACTGAATATAAGAAATCTAATTTTACAATTGTATTAAGTTGTTTAGCTGATAGTACTAAATTACCTCCTATGATAATTTTTAAATTAGTTAAAGTATCATGACAAATATTTCTACTAGGTATTATTGTATGAGCTAATTCTAAGAAATATATGAATTTTGAAGAAATAATTTTTTAAATTGAAAAGATCTAGAAACATCAAGCTTCTTTATCTGTTGATTTTCACTCATTACTTGTTTTGGATTTATTTTATGATCACTTTATGGATACAGTTAAAAATAGCTTTGAAGAAAAAAATACTAATATTGTAGTAATTCCAGGTGGACTTACCCAAAAAATTGCAATCCTTAAATGTATATATTAATAAATTCTTTAAGAATAAAGTAAACTAACATTTTAAAATTATTGATGCATTTATTTGTAAAAATAGCATTATTATTAATTACATAATTGACATGACTAATATTAAAGTTTAGTTAAAGTTAAAATTAATAAATCTGATTGGTTAATAATCTTAATCAATCAGTAGTTTATTTGTTTTAATTTGAACTAAATTTTAATATTAGTTAGAAAATACTTTTTTTTTGAATTTTAAATATCATAAGTGCTATCTTAGTTGAATGAATAAAGAAATTAAAAATTAATGTTTATAGATTGTAATCAAAGATCTGCTTATAATTTGGTAACAAGATGAATTAAAGCAGCATGAGATCTTGTTGACTCTGATCTTATAAAATAGTTATTCAAATGCTATAGTATATCTACAGTTCAGAATGAGTTTGAGAAGAATATAATGTTTGATTATAATTGGATTGCTAATTCAGAATGGCAAAATAGTGATTATATAAATATTAATATAAATAATGCAAATAAGAATGAAGAGTTGTTGATTTGACTTAAGACAATAATAACAATGATAATAGTGGTTTGGATAAAAGTAATAAAATAAGAAGTAAATATAATAGTAAAAATAGAAATAATGATAATAGAAACAAGAATGATAATAAAAATTATAATAGTTTAAAGATGAATAAAGATAATGATGACTTGAATGAAGATAAAATATAATTTTTTTTTTTAATGTTGAAAGATATAAATTTTTTTTAAAAAAATTTCTATTAATTAAAGAAAGTCATGAGGAAGATTTATATTATAATGATCAAATAACTGAATATGTTTATATGTAGGATTAAAAAAATACTCTCTTGTTCACTCAAATCATAAAAAACATAATAAATGTAGTAATAAAAAATAGAATATTAATAAGTAGTGCCAATGCTATTAAAAAATAATGACATATTTGATTTATTATATAATAAACAAATTTAAAGAATAACTTGTAGCTTTCATTAATATTAAATAGTCATAAAACAATTGTAATAAAGAAAAACCACAAATAGAAATAGATAATATCCACTATTATAGCTGCAAAACAATTTATAAAGTTTATATTTACAAGCAACCTTGCAAGAAAATATATATTATAATCTGGCAATATGCAATTCGTTTATAACACATTATGTTTTATTACTAAATTTAACTATAAATAACTCATTATTTAATAGAATTGTACTGTATAATTTACTTGTAAATTTAAATAGATCATTAAAAATCAAATCAGATTATTTAGAGTTATTAGGAAATAATAAAGAAATGCATTAATAAACTATAAAGCAATACAATATAACATATATAACAATAAGTTGATATATTAATATTAATATATTAAGAATCATTTAAATGTTGTACAAACTGCATATAAGACACTGTTAAATATTTGTTAGATAGGACTATACTTCAAATACTATATATTATACTGGATCTTTTTAATATTTATTTCTATTTATATATTTGGGTCTTTTAATATTTATTCTTATTTATATATCTAAGTTTTTTAATATTTTATTTCTGTTTATATATCTAAGTATTTTACAATTTACTAAAATCTTAATCTATATTATAGACTCAAATATAGTACATAGTAGGTCTGATATCAAGAGAAATCTTGTATATAGCAGTTTACAGTATAGTTATAATTTTTATTTTTTAAAATCAAATTTAATATAAGGAATTTAATTAATAAAATTGATTACTAATTAATTAATTTAGAATAAGGTTTTTTATACTAAATTTGAT